GCTTTTCTGCATTTTTCACAAATCATTCTGTCTAGGAGTAACAAGAGACTCAGAATCATTGGTTCTTAACATTAAGGACTACCATGTCTATCAGTTTTAGTGGCTTCTTTTACCGGATAACGATGGATATCCTTTAAATTTTGTTAAAGTTTTTTGTCTTAGACTTTAGAGCAGAAAAACATTAAACATGTTTCCTAAAACTTTCACTGATCTGATCACTTGATTTACAGAAATATCCCAATCTATCAGAGAATTTTCTATTGCCTTCTTTAGTTTTATTTATTTTTCAGTCCATTTTCTTTTTCCTTTCACTTCTGTAGATTAAACATTCTCAAGAGAATATGGATAAACCCACATCCAAAACAAAGAACACCTAAAAGAGTGTCATAAATATGTAGTAGCTGATTTTTGTGTACTCTAGCCAGTTAACAATGGATATTTATTATACTTCCTGACAGACAGTTATAGCACTCATTTTACATACATCATAAACATTTAATTCTGGGAAATAATTCAAAAATCATTCAGGTTAAGTCAATGTTCACTTTGCAAGAAGTGAACAAAACGAAGGTGTCCCAAGACATTTTTAGAACTTCAATTATATTCACGCCAAAACTGTATTTGTGATAGATGAGACTCATGTGTGTATACCTGATTAAAATGGCTTCGAAGAATCATTTTTAAATAACAAAAATACAGAAAATTTTACCTTAATAGGTATTTTATATATTAGCTAGATTTTTAAAACTTTGCCTTTACAAACCAAGTGACTTTCATTTTAAAGACAGCTAATTACATTTACAACAAATTTAAAGATGCCTAATGCCTCCCTTATTTTAAAGCTAGAATTGAATGCAAGGCTATGAATACATATATGTGTATATATGCATATAACTTATACAATACTAATTATAATCATACTACAATAGTCCCTGTACTCAGTGTCTACTATACCATAAGCTCTATTCTTGGCATGCTTATACTTGCTCATTTCACCTTATATTGGTATTTTGATATATGAGGTCTGTCCAGAAGTTATCCAGCCATGTAATATGAAAAATAGAGCCATTTATTGAAGAAGATGCAAAATACAAGAAACACTGTATATAGGACAATGATGCCTTCAAAGTAGGTACCTTGGGACCTCACACAGTTCTCTCAGTCACCATCAGCTGCCCCACTGTATTTTCCTGAATCTCATTGGCAGTGTGAAATCTCTTCCCTTTCAATGATGATTTTAGTTTTGGGAAAATCCAGAAATTACAGGGCACCAAATCTGGGCTCTAGGGGGTCTAAGCCACCTGGATGTTTTGATGTTTCACCAAAAAACTGCACAAGACGTGATGCAGGAGAGGGTGCTTCATCGTGATGAAGCTGCCAATCACCAGCTAACCGTAGCTGTGGCCTTCTGGGTCACCTAAATAGTTTCCACAGAAGAATGTTCAAGCTTAACTCAAAATTTGATGCAAATTCATTGCTCTACTCAGTTAGTTTGAATGCAATAGCAACACAGTACTCATACTCACTCAACAGCATCTACTGCCCCCACTGACTAGTACAGTGAAGTCATCATTGTTCACACATGTGCAATCCAGTTAACTCTCCTTGCCTGCCAGATTACATCAATGTTACACAAACCGTTCTCGTTATATTAACAATGGCTGGACTTTTTCTGGACCAACCTCAGAGGAATAGTTAGCTCTGTGTTACAGTGTAGGAAATGAAGCCTCAGAGAATTTAGGTAAGTAGTCTAAGGGCACATGATTACTATGGAGCAGTGCTACAAAAATTGGGGACTTTGTTCCTAGTACCCATTTAGCAATGCTACCTCATCACATCTGTTACTTCCAATTATAACAAAATGAGAAAAAGTGAGACTCTCAGCCCATGCTCAGAGATGAAGGGATAGACGTATTTAGCATGTACACACTTACTGACAATATGATATTAAATTCTCTACTGATTTCTGCCATAGCAGCACATTTCTTTAATGATGTGATGTTTGAGACAATTAGGACTAAAAAACGCATGATACAAAAGAGGGTTCTGAGGATATGTGGCTTCAAATATTGTCACTTTACTTCCATTGGCTTAAGAATTTCCAGTACAATCCATTAAAAAACTATCCTTAATGAAAACTAGTGCTAACATATAAAGAACAAGGTGTTTCATTTCACATCACTGGACAAAGAACTGGGCAAGAAGCTACCACTGTCCCAGAGGGAAGAAGAACCACATAGGCACAACCTCTCATGAGGGGTCAGCAATGAGAACTGCTAGGAAACCATGTCTGGAAAGTAGCCTTCCTGTGACGTTGAATCAGGGATGGGAAGGAAATGAGTAGCTCCACAGGCAGATGACAAACTGCCTGTGTCTCTAAACAGAAGTCACACATTGACGTGTGTGCAGTATAAAGACCTGTTTGCACAGAAGTGTGTGTGAGAGACAAACATGCACAGATTCCCCACACATAGTGACAAACAGCCCCCAGAAGGGCATGTCCATTTAGTAGAAAGAATTGCTGTAACTGGTGTGTTATTTTTGTGTTGGGTGTTTACTTACTTGCACATTTTAAAATTAAAAAGAAAATCCTTAACATTCTATTTACCAAAGTGTATCTGGCTTGTCTTCTGTGAGGTCTAACGATGACACTCCCCAGCAATAACATTTGACTATTCCCATGGCGTTCCATTTATGGCCTTCCTCCAGTTCTGCAGAACTGTGAGGCCCACCTCCTCCACATCCATTTATGGGGTATTTTCCAGTAGCTATGTAGACTCTGAGTAATATCAGCTTTGGAACCTGGGAGGTATAGACAGAACCAAAGTCTCTATCCCTCTTGGTCATCATCCTTAGGTGTCGAAAGTTTGAGAACAGAGGATGGCCTAGAACTCTGTAAAGAAAGCGGTCAGAAAGCAGAAGTCAGAGAAAACATATTTGCTTGTACATTCATTATTAACCTCATGTGCTGTGGAAGTAGGAGCCTGATTTGAACTTGAATCTGGGTTAACTTAGGACAGAGTCAGAAAACTATTGCAAACATGAAGACCAGAGTCACAGAATCTGCTGCTTCCCATCTGGAAGACTGAGGTCTTAACTGCCAGAGCAAAAGCCCTACCTATTCAGGAAAAGGCATGGTCAAGTCTGACCTGTAATAAACTTAATTCCATGTTCCAGTTGGGTCAAGTTTAAGGGCTGGTAAAGGTCAACTTTGGTCTGCAAATATGCTTGATTTCTAGACCTAAATCCTTTTTCTTTCTGGGACAAGTTAAAAGGTCACTCCCTCTTCTGAATATTTTAGGAATAAGTAGGTTTTATAGTTTTGCAGGCTAAGTTACATGGAAGGATTCTAGGCTTCGTAGTCTTCATAGTTAGGTGGCCGCACTGGTAGTAAAAGGAGACTCAAACATTAGTTATTTTTTTTTGTCCTTGGTATTCTAGGCCAGTGCATCTATATTAGTGAAGAATTTTTTAGATAATGTATTTTTAAAGTTGATATAAAGCCAAGGACAAAGGGTGCAAGGGAGGAGGTAACAGAACAGCAGGGATGTGAGGAAAGGATGCTTTCGGCTTAACTCCTTGGTGTCTGAGGAGTTATGGGGAAGAGTACTCACTCCGCCACGGTTAGCAACTTTCCGCCGTGATTGCTCCCCTACAGTTCCTCTCTCTTTCTTCCCACTGCCAACACCCATACCCATGGGATGGGAACAGCTAGAGATTTTGTGGGCTCTGTCCTCTTTCAAACTCCCATGTCAGAGTGATTGTGCACACACAGTCTTCTTTCACACCTATTATATTTTTCAAAAGATATAAACACAGATCAGAGTAAGTAAAGTGAGGTGGCGAAGGAACACACTAGATACCATGGCCTCTGGGGAGCCACCCTTAAACACCCCCTCTCCCTAACCCCTGCCCGTCCCTCTGCAGCAGAGTGAGAAGCTCCTCACTGCATTCATAGGGCCTTGGGGATATCTCTCTTGTGCTTATCACACTGTATTTTACTGTTTGCTGATACAGTTCTCCTCTCACCTGGGCTGTGAGCCGCTTACAACCAGCATGACTGGGTTATTTACTGTGCGCCTGTGAGTGAGCTGGATGGGATGTGGTAGTTTCCAGCATCCTTGGAGCGCTTTGTAGCAAATAGAATGCAGAGAGCATGTGGGAAGAATATAGAAAGTATGTGATTATTCCACTAAAAACTCATAAAAGAATTTGACTCATTATATTTTATGTATTTAAATCTATAATGATGAGCCTTTTTTAATGGTGTAAGTAGTGGCTAGAGAGATAAAGGTAAATATTTTCTAGGCATAACTATGTTATTAAAATGTCACAGCCAAGTGTAGGTATCAATGGAAAAGTGAATTGGTAATGATTTTAAAGTGATCCAGTCAGATAAATTACACTAACTAAAATAACTCATTCATTTTAACCACTTCTTTCCCTTTAAAATACTGAATCAATTATCTGGTTCTGATACCCTTTAAGCCAAAATAATCAATATGACAATATTAACCCAAATTAATTACAGTATATGTCCAGCAAGATTATTCCTCAGGAAATTCATTCACTATGACTCAACATGGATTTACATGTTGAGATTGAGGCCTGCATTTGATTATTTTTACAGGAAAAATTCTAAATCCAAAAACACTTCATTGGTTCAAATAATATGAAATACAGTGAAACTTCAGCACATTAAAAACTTTGGAGGGTCCTCTACTATTGCAGCAGAATGCAAGCCAAACCCCCAAACTTGGCTAAAATCACATTTTTACCACTCTCATTTTCCCCAAATAATAACTCTTTAGGAAATGCAGTATCTATTAATAGCTGTGAGCAGGTTAACTTTTCCCAAAGAAGTTCCATATATTTTTTGATGCCATGTCCTTAAAGCTATTGGTCAGTTATTTCAGTTTTCAGAAAACACTTGGTCTAGAATTGCATGTACTTCCCGACGGGAGAGTAAACGCTAACGCCTCATTTTGTCCTCCACACAGAAAACAATAGATGTGCGTCTTCGAACGCAGCGTCCTGCACCCGGTGCCTCGCCCTGGATCCGCAGTGTGGATGGTGTGCTCAAGAGGTGTGCCTATTTTTCCCTTTCTTCCTTTTTTTTTTTTGCTCTTTTCTGTTTTTCTCACAGTTGCCCTTCTCTCTAGCGTAACTTCCTTGCCCTGACATTCTGTGTCTTGAAGGTGCATCAGGAAAAAAAAATACTGATGAGCATCAGGAAATTTTATTTGGTTTTATGCTTGGAAACAGCCTATCTGACTGAATATAAAGTATAACCATTTTATTAGGAAAATTATGGTAATTTAGAAACAAAGTGCAAACCATTTTATGTTTTCCATCTGTTCCATAGAGAAAAATTGGCAAACACAGAAGAGTAACTTTTGCTGGGTCAGAAGGCTTTGTGTGAAATTCTTGCTGCAGCTTTGGGGCATTAGGTTGTGTATCCAAGTTGGATCATTGTCTTATACTTGCTTAGTAAAGAGGAACAAGCTAATTTATTGGTCTATTTCATTTGTTTTTATTTGACATACTTGGAGATAAGTGATTTACTCGATTGTAACACTGTGCATCAATTCTTTAGTTACTTATGGGAAATGGGGGGGTGCTCTTCTTTCCCATGCGGTACAGTTCATGTGGTCTTGTGTAGGTCCACATTCTGTGGAGTGGAAAATAGCTCAGCAATGTTTATTGTTCAAAATTAGTGTTTTATATTCTAACAAGAGAAGCATATCCCAGTAACTTGTCAGTAAAATAATTATAATGCATTCCTTCTTTCTTGGGTCTAAAGTTGTTTTATGAATGTTGTTGGAAATCTTCAGGCAGAACTACCTTATACAGTAAGTTGCAATGAAACAGCCATCTGCTAATTTGTGCTTTCTTTTATAAGACTGCCTAGGTAATTTTGTATTTATTTTATGTAGCTCCTGAAAGTGGAACAGGCAGATCTTTAATGGCCTTTTGCTTGACATGAAGAGAAATCTCTAGCTTTACCTCCTCTAATTTAGCTCAAAAACTGTACCTACACTCCTCTTTCCACCCTCTCCTATCACTGCTTGCTCTTCTGCATCTCCCAGGAGGAAGAAGAAAGGTAAAAAGTAGTACAGGATGGTGGACATTGCATTCTTCTGTGAAGCTAGTCAAGAAAGAGACATGGAGAGGTTTCACAAAACAGTAGCCATGTCTGAAAGTAAGCGCCCCTCCTACTGACAGACTCAAGGCCTCCTGGGCCTTTTTACCAGTGGGAAAATCAGATGTCACTCAAAACTAAGCAGTGCTTTGCCAGAATCCATGGAGCCAAGCAATGTTACAGAGAAGGCAATTCCCAAGTTTCCAAGACCAATCTCATTTCTTCCAGTTTTTATGAGCCAAATGACCACGCAAAATTCACTCCATCCTCTGAGCCTCCTTTTCCTCATCTCTGCAATCTTGACTTTAGAGTTTACTTCCAGGATTTTCTCTCTCAAGAATGTGTCGTTGCTTGATAGTCCCTGACCCTAACCCAATACTGCATTTTAGATTTTTACTGTATCACTAAGGAAGATCCTTAGAGTCATGAAGTTTGTGCCAACTTGACATCAGTTGCTGAGAACTTTAGTGAGTGTTGTTCAGAAGAACTTTCAAAGCATGGTTCAGAAACCCCGTTGTCAGCTAAATGCACCATGCCTGCCACACAGAACGTTCCAGAGGAACCCCTTCTCCATCTCACACTTCTGCTGGCGTGGAAAGGCTGGAGAGTCACAGCTGTAGGAGTTGCAGCGTCAGTCCTGCCAGAGGAGAAGGGGTTTTGAGAGGAGCGGTGGCCAAATGGAAGGAGGCTAGCCAGGGGCAAAGCTGGGGTTGTCAAAACAAGAAAAACAAACCTGTGTTTGCTGTGGGCCAAACCTGTATCAGGGATCTCAGAAAATACTCACATATGACTGGGCTGTTCATGTCTCAAAGTATTCTGTGTAGTGAACAGCGGTCTAATTAAAAGGCTGAAAAAGGAGGCTCTGAAATGAGATCAACTTGGACTCTGATCCCACTTCCATCCATTTCTAACTGCACAGATGTGGGCATGTCAGCTTGCCCATGCTGAAGCTCAGTTTTACCTAGCTCTAGGATGGACATAGTAACTGCACCTATGACACACTGTTGTGAAGACTAAGTGAAATAGTATGTGGGAAGCATTTGGCAAACAGATATTGCCTGCGAAATGGGCGTTGTTATTATAAGAACTTCGGTGAGACTCTGGACCAATTCATTCAAGCTCAGGGAAATCAGAGAATTGCCTGTGTTAAGAACACAACCTTAGGGAAAGCAACCAGCATTAGGACTCAGAAGGAGTTGTCCACTTCCTATAGGCTGACCTGACATCACCAAGAGAAAGAATGTAAGGTTAGTTGTGAAAGGTCAGCCACCACTTAGGCATGCACGCAGCTGATGCCTTTTATGCCTCCATCAGCCAGGGTGGGGGGACAAGGAAAGAAGATGCTGTTTTCTGTGTTCATGAATAGAAGAGATAAACAGTAACAAATTAAGCCTGTTTCATATAATTTTCAAAGCTGATCAAAAGTAAAAGAAAAGCTGAAGAAGTTCATCCTAGCAAACCAGTATTACATGAAATATTAAAGGAACTTCTTCAAAAAGAAGAAAATAAAAAATGTGAACTAGAAAATATCACAGAGAAAAAATCTCACTGACAAAAGCAAACCCACTGTAACAGCAGTGGATCAACCAACACTAAAGCTAGTACACAGGTTAAAAGGCAAAAGCAAGAAGGTCATGTGTAATTACAACAGTAAATTAAGGGATACACACAAACACACAAAAGAAGTAAAATATAATGACCAAAAAAATCCATAAACATGGAAGGGGTGAGTAAAAATGGTAGTGATTGTAGAATGGGTTTGAACTTAAGTGACTGTTAACTTAAAATAGCCTGCTATAAACACAGCTTGGTATATATGAAGCATGTGGAAACCACAAACCAAAAATCTACACGAGATATACAAGAAATAAAGAGAAAGGAATCCAAACACAACATTACAGAAAGTCATCAACATATAAGAGAAGAGACTGAGAGAATAAGAACAGAGAACAACAAAAACCATGAGAAAACGATTAATAAAATGACAATAAGTACATGCCTATCAATAATTACATGTAAATGGACCAGCCAAAAGGCCAATGAATAAAGAAAAAATGGTACATATAGACACTGGAATATTAGTCAGCCATAAAAAAGAACAAGGCCTTACCATTTGGGACAACACAGAGGGACCTAGAGAGCATTGTCCTGGGTGAAATGAGTCATATGATGAAGGACAAACACCATATATTTACACTTATATGTGGAATTTAAAAATGAGAATTAAAAAAATGAAACAGAAACAAACTCATAGATACAGAAATGAACTGATGGTTCCCAGATGGAACAGGGTTTGGAGGGCTGGGTGAAAAAGGTGAAAGAATTAAGAAGTATAGATTGGCAGTTATAAGATAGTGACAGGATGTGAAGTACAGCTTAAGGGAATACAGTCAATAGCATTGTAATAACTATGTGTGGTGTCAGACTTATCGGGGTGGTCACTTCATGAGTGACATAAATATCTAACCACTGTGCTGTATACTTCATACTGATATAGCTCCAAATGTCAGCTGTAATTTAAAGATTTTTTTTTAAGTTGAAAGAAATATTATTGGTATCTTTTTTTCTTTATTATTCATGACCTGAAGCTAAATTAACCATCAGTTAGTTTTAAGTACTTCAGCTGAGAGACTCTTATGACTTTTGAATAAAATTAAACCTAGGACCATATAGCAGATAAAATGACTAGTACTAAGGTAAGAATTACAACTGTACTATAAATAACAAAGTGTTAAAAACCTCTCTTTCTCTCTCTTCCCCTCCTCTACCCGCCTCTCTCACTAACAACAACAAAAAGTAAAAAAGATCACTAGAAAATTTATACAGAATATACAAGGTCTGTTCAGAAGGTATCCAGCCATGTGATATGAAAAATAGAGACATTTATTAAACAAGATACAAGAAATATTGTACATAGGACAATGATGCCTCAGTCCCTGTCAAAGTAGGCACCTTGGGACCTCACACAGTTCTCCCAATTGCCACCAGCTGACCTGTCGTATTTTCCTGAATCTCATCGATGGTCTGAAATCTCTTCCCTTTCAAAGGTGATTTTAGTTTTGAGAAAAGCCAGAAGTCGCAGGGCACCAAATCTGGACTGTGTGAGGGCTGAGCCACCTGGTGATTTGATGTTTCACCAAAAACCCTACATGAGACATGATGCATGAGCAGGCGCTTCATCGTGATGAAGTCGTCAATCTCTGGCTGTCCATAGTTGCAGCCTTCTGAATTGTCTAAATAGTTTCCACAGAGAAATGTTCAAGCTTAACGAAAAATTGGATGCAGATTCATTGCTCTACTCAGTCATTTTGAATGCCAACAACCACACAGTACACATGCTCATTCAACGGTGTCTACCACCCCCATTGACTAGTACAGTGAAGTCATCATTGTTCACGCATGTGCATTCCAGTCCACTCTCCTTGGCTGGCAGGATACATTGATGTTTTACAAACTGTTCTCGTTATACTAACAATGGCTGCATTTTTTCTGGACAGACCTCATATACTCAATTTGCATACATTCTTGTGTAGCATGTTAATCTGCCATTCCATATATTTTATCTTCTCTTTCTCTCTATGCTACATAAAGGTAATTGAAAAATATTTAAGATAGGCAGATTCTTATTAATATGACCTAGTTTAATGTCTCCTGTTCCTTTTTAACATATGCGGAAGACTTTACCAGTTTCTCTTCCTCTTCTGGCTGGTAAGTCAGATACAGATTGTCATTGCGTAGGCAGACACATATTTAGAGGGCAGCCCTGGAGCGTAATTATATTAAAATGTGATACAGTCCTGGCCAGGTACCTTCAGTGGGTTAGAGCATTGTCCCAGTACGCCAAGGTTGAGTGTTTGATCCCCAGTCAGGGCACATACAAGAATCAACCAACAAATGCATAAATAGGTAGGACAACAAGGTTGCTGTTTCTCTCTCTGTCTCTCTCTCTCCCTCCCTCTCTCTTTAGAACCATCATTTTTAAAAAATGATACAAAGGACATTCACTATCAAAAAGAAAATTCTTTTATTTCTATACAGATTGCCAAATTTGAAAATCAAAAGGACTCAGAAATGAGTAGGAGAAAACACTTTTCTTATTTATCTCCCCAGATTATTACATTAAATGGGTGAAAGTAATAAGTGAAGAAAAGCCAACCAGGATAACTTCAACATGGGCATTTCATTCCAAACAGATTCTATTTTTTTATTCTTATTTTTTTAAATATAAAGTAATATATTTTAGAAAGAACAGGATACTTAAGTTATATAATAAACACAATGAAACACTTTTGAGAAAATTTTTATATGACATAAAATTTCCATAACTATAATACAAATTCAATTAGTAACCTCAAAATAACTAAACTTACACTATAGAATGTGATGCCAAATTTAAAAACTCAACAGTTGATCCTAGGTTTCTTTTTAGTTTATTGGGGTGATATTGATTAACTAAACTGTATAGATTTCAAGTCTACAACTGAAAACATCATCACCAAATTGGTTTTAGATGCAGACAGTTGAAGTATGAGTTTGCTTGAGTATTTCTTATAGAAAAAGTAAAACATAAAACATAAGAATTAGAAGAAATTAAAATGCCACAAAACACCGAAAATTAAACGGGTGTGGCCTCGAATTCCTTTCTTTTACGCAAAGTGGAAAGTAGGCCACAGTGGACACGGCAGCATTCCTTTCTTTACTTCTTTTGATGCCATGGTCTTTTCTTCCCTTTTCAATCCTAATTGTTGAATTGGCGATATTTTTGTAACTTAGGGTTTTTTCTCAACAGAAGTTAGCTACTTTATTCCTATTATTATTATTTCTGGCCCCTGCTTTGGCCTCCTTATTGTTCCTTGCCCAAGCCAGACATGCCTCTTTCTGCCTGGGGCATTTACTCAGTATGTTTCCTCTTCATGTATTTTTTTCCTCCAGAAATTCTTGTAGTTTCCTAATACTTCACAGGTTTGTTCTAATGTCATCTGACTATCCTGCTTAAAAATGCAAACAACATTCCATCTCCTTTTCACATTTTTAAAAAATGTTTTAAAATTATAGTTGGCATACAATATTCGTTTCATGCACACACTAAGTTTTTACAGTGGGGTAAAAACAGCCATGCTGGTTTAGACATTGCACAACAATTGAGGCTATTTGGCCCATTTCAGCAAACTGATTTGACATTTAAAGGTCACATGGCATAGCTTGATGTATAGTTGCAGTGAATTAACCATACTCCTTCCTTTTCCATTCTGTATACACAAATAGCAAAATCCCTGGCTGAAAAGAAAAATCGGAGTTATTTGTACTTTATTCCCTTGCTGATCCGAAGGCTTGGGGTTTTGCATCCATAAAGCACATGTGGCCCTTGGTCTGCGTCCTGTCATGTGAGCACAAATTAGCACATGCTCCCCAGGTGCCCAGGCTCCGGGACAGGGGGGATCCACCCCCCTATCTAGCCTGAGGCTTTCTGAAGGGAAGTTACACAGATGATAGAAGTATATGCCACTTCTTTCTGAGGAACTCCAAATTGTTTATAGCCCAAATCTCACATTCAGTCCCTCTAAGTTTTATTACCTAGGATAAATTTGGATACATGAAATTAAGGCTTTGAACATTGTAAACTTCAGACTAAAATCTTGGTGTATGGTCAATAGCAAAGCAAACTGGATTTTTCTGTTTCCATGAAGTCATTTACCAAATGAAACCTGAAAGCCTTGAATGAAAAGGAAATGTTCTTCATTACCTTTTAATTACATTGCATTACAAGTGCACTCCACACTCTAAGGATCAGTACTGTGAAGAGTCACATAGTAAAATTTTTTGAGTTTTGTGGGCTACACACTGTCTCTGTTGCCTATTCTTCTTCTTTGCTGTTTTATAGCATTTTAAAAATGTAAAAAGAATTTTTTTATTACTAAAGCCATATGAAAACAGGCCATGGGTTGTTATTTGTCCCACTGTTCCTACTTTTCCAACTCTTGTTCTAAATTGAGACGGGAATTAAATGAAAATCCTTGTATGAATGTTTTTATATCGCCTACCACCATCCCATCTAATTACTCTCCACTGCCAGGGATGTCCCTGTTCATAATTAGTGAACTCATATACCACTAATATTAAACTTAATCATCTCCATAACCTTATGACAATCTCTGCTTTCCCCTAACTTTAACACTGCTGATAATTACATTTACCTGCTCAATGGCAGAATTCGCTGATGGTCCATTGAGTCTTTGATAACAGACACTCACTCTGCCTTGTCCCATCCTGTATCCTCAGCACCTAACAACCTCCTGTCTCTAAGTATTCAATCAACATTCTTTGATTGAATGATTAATTGACAGTTAATCCAGTTCTGTGAATCAGCTGAACTAAAGGAGGAATGACTGAATGCCAGATCAAAACAGCCACTGCCAGGAAGATCACTGAGCAAATGTCTAGCTAATGTGTAAGCAAATATCACAAACAATTCAGGCCAACATTATCTATAATAAAATATATATTTCTATACTTTTCAATGCATATCCTGTTCTTAGGGAAACAACCTGAATGATTACACGATGCAAAAAGTATCAGTTCTTTTTCCTCAGTTGAGATAAACAATATTTTGAGGTTGCTCCATTAATTCCAAGTTTATTGGCTAAACATCAACTAGCCAATGCTGAATAGTAATGAAAGTTGTAGATTCAGTTGCAAAATCAGGAAAATTTGAGCTGCCATCTCATCTCCCTGCCTCGTTATAAGCATTGATCATTCTTAGTTTATTGAATTACTGTTGGGTGAATAAGAAGTTGGCAGATTTCATAGTCTAGAATCAAAACATAGATTTCCAATTCATTCTCTTATGAATTTTCTGTACCTAATTAGGCTTGTGACTTTTGAAGACTTGCTCTCATATTCCAGACATAATAGTATATAATAAACATACCAGTTGAGTTCTTTGAGAGCTGAGGCGTACATTTGGAACCACTGAATGGTCTATTTTGGATAAGTTTTCTTTTGGAGCAGTCTTTCCAAAGTAAAATATTTTGAAGGAATTAAGTTGGTATAATTTTACAGTGATCAGTTAACAACATTTAAAGTACTTGGTTTAAATCTTCTCTTTAATATGCATTTTCTTCTTTTTAAATAAGATTTAGAAATTAAAGCCTTGCTTAAGATAAACTTGCCAGTACCCTTATTGGAAACAGGCAGCTATTTCGAATAGTTGCACAATTTGTACAATATTAGAAGATGGCCTCTTTGCAATATTTGTAATGTGATTTTCTTTGGTTATAATTAAGATAATATGCCTAAAAATGTCAGTGATTTTCCTTCTTTTAAACAGGATTTCATTTCAGGTGGATCAAGGAGTGAACGCTGTGATATTGTTTCCAATTTAATAAGCAAAGGATGTTCAATTGATTCAATAGAATACCCTTCTGTGCATGTAATGCCAAGTGAAAATGAAATTAATACCCAGGTGACACCAGGAGAAGTGTTGGTCCAGCTGCGTCCAGGTTTGGTGCTTTCCAAATAAATCTATGATGATTTTTTTTAATTTGAAATTGCCTTTAGTTTTATTTGCTCATATTTAATACTTTGTGGCAGGCAATATTATTGTAGTGAAAATAAAAGTAGGCTCAGAATCAAGAAATCAGAATTCGACTCTTTGCTGTGCCTACAATTAGCTAGCTGTGTGGCCTCAGACATTCTCTGCAAACCTGACCACACTGTATTATAATAATGTGTTACCAGACTTGATCATGCTGTAGTGTGATTGTGTTCCTGCTCTACTGGGAGCTCTGGAACACAGAGAACACATTTTATTCCACTCTGTCTCTCCAATGCTTAGCAAAGTGCTGGCATACAGTAAGCATTCCATAAGTATTTGTTGAATTTATTAGTGGAATAATCAATTAGTAAGAGATGTGAATTAAGCTAAGTCCCTATAACCTTTGTGACACAAAAATTACAATTCAAAATTGTCATAATAACTTGAGCAGCTTTGTCATGGCCCCTGAGATTAATACACACTTTTCCTCCAGTAATTATTTTGTACTTTCCCTTTCATCACATTGTATTCCGGAGTTTGGTATATGTAGTAGGCCACTAAGAAACTATTAATTTCCCTCCAGTGCTAGAGAATCCTAGTGTACAACCTCATGTGGCAAAATCAGTTCAGGTGCACAGGGACGCATCACTCAATTAAATGCATTTAGTTTTAACCAGTGTGCAGTTACCTTCAAGCCTTCATTATTTCATTCAGGGTGATCTTGTCATTAAATTCTTAAATGACCATTATTGACATACAACCTCCTTACTCCAAAGCAAAACTATTTCTTCCACACTCTTGGATTACCAGATAAACAAAGTTCATTTCTTTTTTGGCCCTAAGTATATTACCAGCTTCTAATTAAAGCTGTGCCCTTCACCATACAAAACAATTATATGGCACAGTATGGATATATATGAGAAACAGCCAGAAAGGGATACATAAAAAACAAAAATAAGATTGTGATGCTTGCCACCTTCTATTGCTGCCATAACCAAATGCCATACACAAGGGGGCTTAAATAAAAAATTTATTTTCTCATAGTTCTGGAAGCGAGAAGTCTGAGACCAAGGTGCAGTGCTAGGAGGTTTCATTCCTGAAAAGGAACAGAGAGTGACTGGGAGAGAGACAGAGACAGAGAAAGAGCTCTCTGGTGTTTCTTCTTATTAAGGGCACTGATCACATCATAAGGGGCCCATCCTCATGATGTCATCTAAACCTCATTAGCTCCCAAGGCCCAATCTTCAAACACCATTGCATTGTAGGTTAGGGCTTCAACATGTAAATGGGCGAGACACAATTCAGTCCATAGTGCGTGCTATATATAATAATATTTTCAAAGGCCATAAAATATTTTCAGAAATTTGTCATATTTTAGATAAGAAAACTGAATCCCAAAAAGTAAAACTGATGTTAGAAGCCAATATCTGTGAGCACTGTGCAATAAAATTTGATATCAATATAAGAGGATGAACAAATATTAAATGACAGAGAAACTAAGAAAAGCTTCTCTTAAATAAATTCTGTCTCTAAGAATAAATCACAACAATAGTCATAGACTATTTAATAATAGCAATAATAACATCAATACATATCAAAATATATAGAATGTGACTGTAGTTGCTCTCAGGAAAATTCAAACTTTAAATGCTTTTATTATTAAAGAAGAATGAACAAAAATTAACTATCCAAATAAAAATATAGGAACAACAAAAACAAAATTGCTATAAGAAAAACAAAAACAAGAAGGAATTCATAAGTTAAAAATGAAACAAAATTAATGAAATGTAAAATTAGAAATAGAAAAGTAAAATGAATGTAAATCCAAGCACTGGTTCTTTGTAAAGCCCAATCAAATAAATAAATTGTTAGCAAATCTAATTAAGAAAAGAGGACAAAAAGCAAATAAACTAATTATACAGACTATAACCAGAGAAATAACAAGGGAAAAAAACTTTAAGAAAATATTAAACATAAAAATCTATAGTAAAATGTATAAATCTTTTTTTAAAGATTTTATTTATTTATTTTTAGAGAGGGAAGGGAGGGAGAAAGAGAGAGAAACATCAATGTGCAGTTGCTGGGGGCCATGGCCTGCAGCCCAGGCATGTGCCCTGACTGGGAATTGAACCTGCGATGCTTTTGTTTGCAGCCTGCACTCAATCCACTGAGCTACGCCATCCAGGGCAAAATGTATAAATCTTGATGACATAGATAATTTTATAGAAAAATACATGATTAAAAATTGACTCAACAAGAGGAGAAACCCTAGCAAATCGAAAAAGTTAAGATATAAGAAGTTAAGAACACATGAAGCTTGTATGTTCTGTATATCTGATTAATGACTATATCCTTTAAAAATGTCTTTTAAAAAATATTTAAAGATTTGAAATTATTAATACAAGGTACATTTTTATGAGTGTGTTACATTTAAATGAATTTAGCTTGTTCCTTTTTGTAGATAGGATGTAGTTGAATCCCCCCAAGACTATAAATCAACAGTTAAAAAGTTGGAAAACTGTTTCAGTGCTGTTTCCACAGTGACAGTACTGATAATGCCAGCAATGGTAGTGATGGCAATGAGGCAGGGGAAAAATGGACAGACTCGAGACATAATGGGAAGGTAGCACCCTGAGGGGCTGGTGATTGGTGATGAGCATTGGCATACCTGGGCTCTGGCTCAAGCAGCTAGGTGAGATGGGGAAGGCTGCCCTCTGTGGAGCAGGTGGCCGTGAGTTCAGATTGAGACTGCTGAGGTCGAGGTAGTGACTCATCTGTGTGAGGCTGGAGTTCAGGGCAGAGAGAGATACAGGCTGGAGACAGAGACACGGGAGATGTCCACAAGAGACGGTAAGCGAAGGCAGTGTGGGTGAGATCATGGGTAGGAGACGAGTGAAAATGGAAATGCTTTAATGTCTATGTCAACCATTATGGGACTTGGTTTTACTCCATTTCCCACCACTATTTGAATTTACATATGCAAATTACTATAAATGTCTAATGTGTGTAGGTCATCTTTCCAACATAGCTATGACATAACTTTGTAGATTATTTTATAATCTACATATATAGCAAATAGTTATTAAATTAGATTTATTTAGTTCATTTAAATAATATACTGTGACATCAAAGACATGCCAGCTTTTGGGCATAATATAAAAAGCTTGTTGTACCAACTCCAGACATAGAGGAACATTACCCCTCACAATGTTCAATAAAAGTCTTTTCCACTATGGTACATACAAGACTTGAGGGTTTGATAAAATGCACACCTAAGTGTAAAATTTATTTATTCCCCAATTGACATTTACTTGATTTAGTTATAAATAATCACTTTACTCTTTTCTGATAAAAGTTCATGACTTTCAATGTAGCATCTATTAAGATGTTTTTTAAAATTTCCATGGATATTTTTATTCCTTCATATATTGACTAATTTTTAAAAGGATGTTAGTAAATGTATACAATAATAAATATTTAAAGTGAGATTTTAAAATGACATTTTCTTTTATGTTTCACTTCTTAAACTATACATTTTTATTATTTTACCTATCAAACGTATGGAGCAATAATAACAGAAATAAGTCACTGATCCTAGTTGATGTTCCCTAAAAACTGAAATTAAATCTTTAGGAAGATAGGAGACAGAAGAGAATTCTCTAGTTCTGCTTCAGAGTAACACACTGTATATGATGAGGATTAATATAATCTATACTTCACTAATTCAAAAAATACTTCAAATTTGATTCACTTTAATGTTGAAAAGAAAAAAAAGTCTCTTATTTAGTGTGGCTTAATTTAAAATAAAAGATTTTTCAGGTATTCTTTTTAAATTAAGTTTTTTTTTCAAGAAACATAACACAGAAATTAGCATTTCCCCCCACCCCTACACATGTACCCCATTTCCCCCACAACAAAACTTCAGAACTGTGTTGGGGTCTGTGCCTGGCTATTCAAACCAGTCTCATTCTTGGGAAGTCTCCTTCCCCTGCCCGAGTATAATTCATAGTAATCACCTGCTCTTTCTTCCTGCTACACTCTTACACATTCTGTTACGGTTTCTCAATTTCATCTAACGCAGAACATTTTAAAATTATCTTTACTTAATGCCCAGTCGTATTTGTGGCAGCCAAGACTTCAGAGTGTTCACACCATTATCTGAGTGTTTCAAAATCACTCTAACAACTTTTAATTAATTCTTTGGACTATTCAAACCAATACTGGCAGTAGCTCTAAGTAGGTCTCAACTTTTCTCCAAGTCCTCTTTCTTATTCTGTGTGATAGACTCACTTCTTCCTTTTGAAGTGAATTGAAGGAAAGGAGGGTCTGAGCCTTTAGAATCTCAAAAGGTATGAGGATGAAGCTTTCCTGGAGATAATAACGCACATGGTAGCACAAGCATTTTGGGGCTAGATGATACTCTTTTCCTCTTAAAGAGAGACACTATTTAAGTTTCCCCTAACCTGTGGGAAAGAAATCATGGATATTAGCTTCTTTCTGTCAGAAATATGTGGCCTTTTGAACAGCTATTTAAAAATAGGTTTCAAATATTGTCTAGTTAAACATTTATGAGTGGCCATGCATATACCAAACCCAGAGGATTCAGAAATGAATAAACAGTTCTTACCCTAATGTTGCTTAGACTCTAGTAATAGTAACGGTAATAATTACTAACACTGCGTGAGACCAGGATTTGCTTGCTAGTCTATGAGCAGCTGGTGTGTGTTGAGGGCCCTTGTGTGGCTGGCATTTGGTTGGAGCTCCCTGAATAGCTTAGGCCACGGGCTCTGCCTGTTGGCCAGATAACTAACAATATAACAACCTGCAAAATATGTGTAACTGGTTTATTATGCTATGACTATATAAAAACAAACAGCCATTCATCTTTAGATAGAGCCACGATAAACTGCAATGATCCACCGAGATGAAAATACCGTGCGGCCAGTGCCTAAGGCCTTCAGCCATATGTCCAAGTCAATGATTAAAAAGCATGCACACAATTTGTAAAAAAAAAAAAAAAAAACCTCTCAGTACTGACCCACGCATTCAAGTTCAAGCTCCTCCTCATGAACCACTCTCCCCAGTTACACTCCACTTCTGTTTCTCACTGATCCAGCCCTGTCGGCCGGATTCTGTCATTCTCCTGAATTGAAATTCTCTGCTCAAACTGCAGGACACTTCCAGACGGGCAGGCTTTTTCACCAGGTCCCCGAAAAGCCAGAGCCTCTGTGCAGGCAGCCCACCTCCTCCACGGAAGGAATGGGAGGGTTGGCTGGGCCGGGCAACACACGCCCAGTTCCTCCTCCCAAACTCTTGGGCCAGAAAGTTTGGAGTGCTGCAGTAAAAGGGGTTCCCTGAACTTATTGGCAAGTAAGGGATGAGTAAATAGCCCCTTTCTCCCATAATTATTATGTATCAGAAAAAAAAAAAGCCTACTGTTATGAATTCATTCCTTCATCTGGCTGAAAAACATCTGATTTGTGAAATAATTTAAGAGAAAATATTGCTACTTTTAAGCACATTAAGACCGAAAATATGGTTTACTAGAGGATCCCTTTAATAGGTAGGTCAGACTACCAAAAATGTATACAGTATACAAATTGGTATTCATTAAAATTTTTTCCACTCAAAATATTCTCTATGGACAAATGATGACTTACAAAACATTTGTTTTATTGTTAACAAAAGTAAAATTCACCAAGTATTTAAACTGGTAACTTTTCACCATGTCCTTCAAAAATTTAAATACAGAGCTGCCAGGTCTACAGAGCTGTCCTTGGGCAGTGCCCACGATTCTCCTTGTGGTGACACTCTTCTCAGCTGCTTCCCTTCCACTGTGATGCCTCCTGAACACGTGTTTACTGGGAACCCAGTATGCACTGGACAAGTGCTGTCCCCCACACTGCCCGGGTCCTCAGTGTGGCGCTGCTGGGTGCTCTTCTTTAGACCACTGTCTCATTCCTTCTAACAACTAACTGCTGAGAAGAATCTTATCATGTAATTCTTGATGAGGTGCTAATTATTTTGAATAGCTTAATGTACTTCTTAAAGAAGTAACGGAGTTTTCACAGCTCCTATGTAAATACGCCTTAACCCAAAAGCATGAATTTATACCTGAGTCTAATAAGAAGCCATTTTTCTTAAGATACCTTTCTGGTTTTCTTCAAACCTGAAAGCCAACTTCAAACAAACACAGCCGCCTACTCTCTGCTGAGACAGAATGCTGCTCCCTGTCTCCTGCTGTGCTTTTCTCCACACTAGAAAGACACGTGCACATGGTAATAAATACATTCCCTAGTACATTGACATTGAGCTGGTCCATTTGCTGTTATTTCTATCTGCCCTATAAAATTGTGAGACATACATTGTAGAAGTTGGAGACTCATAATTTGGATGGTTTTCAAATTGCCTTTAAATTATTCCAGAGTATTCCAAATTTCACTTACTATACACGAATCTGTGATCATTGTTCCATATCCAAACTACAACTGATTCATTGACAGCTTATCCTGAGATATTTAAAATAAATACATGATATCTGTCTTTCTTTGAACTAGGAGCTGAAGCTAATTTTATGCTGAAAATTCATCCCCTGAAGAAATATCCTGTGGATCTTTATTATCTGGTTGATGTCTCAGCATCAATGCACAATAATATTGAAAAATTAAATTCCGTTGGAAATGATTTATCCAGGAAAATGGCATTTTTCTCCCGAGACTTCCGTCTTGGGTTTGGCTCGTACGTTGACAAAACAGTTTCACCGTACATCAGCATCCACCCAGAAAGGATTCATAATCAATGCAGGTACCGTGTGCTGGAGGTGCATTTCATACTGCTAAGTGAATTTTTTTTTCTTATAAAAACTCAGTTTGTTTTTATGTAAAGGAATTACTAAATTTTATATTTTTGTTTTATCAAATGAGAAGTGAAAATATTTGGAGGGGAAGTATGTACTTATCTGAAAACTTCTGAGGTTACCTGGAGCTTGGGCTTTTTATTTTATATATTTTTTAAATATCAAAAACACAAATAATATGAGTACTTTGGGACAAGCTTCCTAATAATTAGGGTCCCGTGTATATAAATACCTCTTCGAAAATTTTGTGTTTCTCCTTTTTGATGGCTTCATATTTGTTGAATAAGGTTTGTCAAAGACTTGTCAAATTTGTAGTACGCACATTGGCAGTACTGCATCTATCTTCCCATTACTGTGTTGTGGCTGTTTATAATTTCGTTGCTTAAGATGTGACTTCACAGAAAACTCAGCTAGCACTTGGAGGGCAGGTCAAAAGATGAGAATCTGCTTGCTAGATCAGAAGAGCCCTCTTTCTTATCATTTCAGTGGTCTAATTTTAAATAGTACATGCCCCAGTATGAAACTAAAACTGACTAAAAATTCAACTTTCTCATGCAATATTCTAATTAGCCTGTTGAATTTTCAGAGAGAAATATAAATGCTTAGCTCTTCTTTAATAAAACTGCTTATTTTAACATCTCCATTCCTACTTCCATAAATTGCCCAAACCACTTTACAGTACACACTCTAATTTCCCAAAACAACTCTGCTGCAGTGGGCGGGGCTGAAACATCTGCCTCCTGCGGTGAGGATGCACCTGAGGAATGACTCTCGCTTTGTGGAACATCATGGAATTCTCCGAGCCATTTTAATGAGCTTTGACAGCTCACCAGTAATTGCATACCAAGCATCACTTTTAAACATAGCACAATATTTTAAAATAATCTAACAATAGCATATATACAATTTTACCTAAATTCCTAAAAAAACATTTCCCAAGATGTGCTTTTCAGCTGCTTCATGGTCAAATGTGATAGGAAACCACTACAAATTCTTATCCCTTCTGAAAATTAATATGTTAGTGAAATATAACCCCTTTGGTGTCCTGTATTATATAAGAAACATGTTTAATCTTCTTCATTTTTGAACACCAAACTGCTATATTCCTCTTTCCAAATTGCCAAGAAATATTCACCAATATTGAACTTTTCTCTGACTTTATAAAGTACAAACTTTCTCTAATATCATTTCCTTGGTAAAAAAAATAAAACAAAAACCAAAAGCTGTACTACCTTCTCACACCAACCACATGATTTTACTGTGAGCAGTATTTTGGCTCTCTGAAGAGAGCACAGCAAAGCAAAACCTGCATTTCTTCTTTCCCCACACAGTGACTACAACTTAGACTGCATGCCTCCCCACGGGTACATCCACGTGCTGTCTTTGACGGAGAACGTCACTGAGTTTGAAAAAGCGGTTCATAGACAGAAGATCTCTGGAAATATAGATACACCTGAAGGAGGTTTTGATGCGATGCTCCAGGCTGCTGTCTGTGAGGTAAGAAGTTTCACACCATTGAGTGTTTGCTCAAAAGGAAACCTCCCCAAGAATTCAGGATTCCTGTTTTATTTTTGATTTATGGATTGAAAACAGCATAGAAGAATAATTTCTACCTCTTATTCATCACCCGTGTTACTCATTTTGGTATGTGTTCAGGACAGAGAAGCTAAATTTGGGGCAGGCTATAAATAGGAAAAGATAAAAGGGAATAAGTAGCGTATGCACTTGGAAATGCTTCCCAAAAGGCTGCTGTTTTTACTCACCACCATCCAAGGAAGAACCAGAAAGTGCCTGCTGTCCTCATCACGTGACATGAGTGCTCTGCACTTCTTAACCATGACTTGCTCTTCCTCTAGGGGAACACCAGACAGCTCCAGCCCAGGGCTTGTGTGGTCAAATGACTGTGGTAAAATAGAGAATATACAAATAAAAGTCAATTCTGTTTATGAAACAGCATTGCATTTATGCACATCATTCTAGCCTGACTTAATGTTTGTGCACTTGGATTTAATGTTTACTTAAGATAAAGACCACAATACAGATCTATGTTATTGTACAAGGTCTAATTACATGTTTATCTTTAAGAGTCATATTGGATGGAGAAAAGAAGCTAAAAGATTGCTGCTGGTGATGACAGATCAGACATCTCATCTTGCTCTCGACAGCAAATTGGCAGGCATAGTGGTGCCAAATGACGGAAACTGCCACCTGAAGAACAATGTCTACGTCAGGTCAACAAGCATGGTAATTAACGCAGCTGCTGCCGCTTAGTCGTTATGACTCCTGCTTGAAGTATAAGTTTAAGTGGGCAATTTAAGCTATTCTTGTACCAAGAAATTACCTCAATGAGCATCATACGTAGTCAGGACAAGCCATGAGAGAGTTCTGGGACAATGAAATCTATAAATGCTGGTCAATAAAATATAAAGCTGAGATATTTTGACAATATCTAACAGCTGACTTTCTGATATGCTACAAAGCACTTTATAATTTATGAAAGCAAAAATGATAGAAGGCCTTACTTTTTGTGCAACTGAAGGACCGTATAAGGGAAATGTGTGTGTGTGTGTGTGTGTATAAAATAAATGTATATATAAATGTGTATATATTATATATAATGTATATATATGCACATATAATATATGCATTATACAATGTATACATACATTATATATGCACATTTAATATATATTTGGCTTAATATTATATATATGTTTGGCTTAATATATATACGTTTGCCCTAATAAAAATAAACTCCTTTGGTAGGGTTGGTACCTAAAAACATATTAAGGATTGGTAAGAAAAGTGTATTTGAAGCCCCGGCTGGCGTAGCTCAGTGGATTGAGCTCGGGCTGTGAACCAAAGCATCGCAGGTTTGATTCCCAGTCAGGGCACATGCCTGGGTTGCAGGCCACGGCCCCCAGCAACCGCACATTGATGTTTCTCTCTCTCTCTTTCTCCCTCCCTTCCCTCTCTAAAAATAAGTAAATAAAAAATCTTAAAAAAAAAAGAAAGAAAAGTGTATTTGGCCTGAGGAAACTTCACAGTGTACAGACAGAATCCAAGTAGAGACAAGGAAAAAAAAGGCCAGCTTTCAGTATTCTGTACCTCAATTCTTCCCTGTGAAGCTTATCTGTGTTCAGGGGTTCTTTTTTTTTTTTAAATCATCAAATACCTGGATTGCTTCCTCAGAGCATTTCAGCTCTGAGTCATATGTTTACATGCACTCTTCTAGTACCATATATTTCCCAGAATCATCTGCTCTACATGTGGGAAATTGACCACATGAAGCATCATTTATTTCTGACACTGACAGATATTTTCACAGTCACACAAATGTTGGAACAGAAACTTCCGCACTTTCCCAGATCTTTGTACCCTAGTGTCTCGGGATTTTTTTCCCTGGTTCCCCTAGGTCAAAACAAAAACAAAACAAAATAAAAACACAAATCTGACAATTCTATTTATTAAGTAGTCAGGTCCAAATAACTTAACTATTTATGTCCTAAAACTTAGCAGCCAGTTAAAAAATAGTATACATCATGAATCACATATACATATATTTGTGTCACTCTTCGTGAGTTATTTATGGGAACCTCCAAGCCTTGGAATCAGATTGGACATCACCACCCTCATTTCCTGTTTCACACTGACTTTCATCCTGCCCAGCTTTGTAAAGGCTCCATGTCCTCCAAAGGAACGGAGCCAAGTGTGGTCTTAAAACTGTGAACAACTTCCAGGCACCTGAGGGAAGCCAAGGACCTCTATGTTTCCCTTGAAATTTTAAGACATTGTGAGGCACCCTGGTGAGTGGGCTGCAGTGTTCCAAGGTACCTCATGCGCAGATTGGGAACTGCAATATTAAAAGCATATAAATTATGCTGAACTGTGTGTTGTTCCCACGAGTGAAATTTAAATTGATTAAATTTAGTTCATCTGAACACTGTGCCAGACATATTGGAAGTCGAGAGGAGCAACTGCACTCTCGCATAAAACAGGTTCAATCCTCGGTTAGTTTAGTCTCTTGAAGGCAGCCTCATATTGTAAAGATTTTAAAAGTTAACTAGAGTTTGAATTTAAAAATTTAGGATTGGGAGTTATTCCCCCCCTGTGTCTTTTCCCTTTGTTAATTCTCTTTTACTTGGCCACATTTCACTTTGGTAGATCCATCCACTTCAATTTAGTCATTTCCTATCTTTCCTTCCTTCTAGTTAACCTCTTTTAATCTGCTGTAGAGTTTGAATTTACTTACTGGGGAGTGGAGGAGGAGACAAGAGGAATTATTTTGTTGTGAGACAAAAAGCAGCTTTCATTAAGGAAAAATGATAATCACGTTATTCTCAAATTGCATTGAATTATCCTTCTGAAGTTTGGCCAAGTCCCTGAAGTCATCTCTCCATAATTGTATTTTAGAGGGTGCTGTTGTTCAGCTAGAAAGGATTCCTTAAGGCAAAGAAATGCTCTCATAATTTTTGACATAGGCCACACCATGTAAACTTAGGGAAATAAATTCTAATCTCGTGGAACTTTACAAAGTATTGGGACAGGCTCCTATGAGACCAGGAATTTGTATATTCTACCATGAACTTCATTTGCATCCTTCGACATTGATCCACCTACTTAAAAGGATGCACATTCAATGTGTCATTGATATGTATTGAGTAAAAAACAAAAGAAACAAAAACGAGTAGTGTATTTGTTAATATCTTAGAAAATACTTTTATCTCATTTTAGATCTGCGTTTAGGGGATCCTCTTCTTAAGAATTCTCATTCCTTCCATTTCTAGGACACTGTCCTAAAATAAAAGTTGAAGCATTTTGATTCACCTTGACTATGCATTTATATATACACGACATGCTATTGCTTCAGATGCAAAGCTACCCTGAGCCTGACTCGACACATATTTACTGTTGATTTTTAAATGACCTCCATCCTCTCCTATTTGGCCATTATAGAGAAATCGTAAAAGGTGTAAGACAAGCAATCAAACACTCTGCTTCCTGAATTTATCTCAGCCAACCATACTCATAATGTCAAATGCCATCTGAGTTTCTTGGTCCAAGATTCTGGTTGTTTTATTTATAGAAGGAAATAACTGATAAAAGACTTCTTTATATGTCTCAGTTACCTGGGCCAGAGCTCTGCTGCATGTACACTTAGCTATTGCAATGTGACCTCCAAACTAAAAACAACTACCTTGTTTTGAATATTTGCTCATCAAAACCACTGCAGCAAACACTGCATACAGAATCCAACTTATCTTACAACAACTATTTAGGGCAGTCATAATTATTTTTTATAAACACAAAACTAATGGTAGAAGAATTGAACTGACTAAGGAGAGACAGATAAAAAGTTAAAAAAGTAACAAAGCTGGGGCTCAGTCTAACTCAATCTTATAATATGAAAATCTGTATTCTTAACCACTTTGCCACAGTTTTTCAGGGGAAAAGTAGAAGAAATAGTACAATTTTTGCTCTTTCTGGTTGCAGTCTTACTTATGGAAGAAATAAAGCACATAATTTGGCTTACATAAATTACAAAAAAGATATAATTTAAAGGATTTTATAGTTACACATTATTACAGTATTTTATATGGCAAATGATGATACTATTAAATAAATTACATTTTCCACAGCTTTTTCTCCCAAGTGCTAAAATGAAAAACTAGAGTAGTAATGTAATTTTATAATTTATCCAATAATAATGGCAGTTTAAGATATGGTATTCTTTTGAAAATGGTAGATACAAGTATAAAAATTGTTAGTGGTGTACAAGATAGGTTATTAATACTAAGGGTCTGGAATTTCTCCCTGTCTTCCCACCCACCACCTCCAGGGTAAATCCCAGCCTCACACAGAGTCCTTACAGTCATTCACCCTACCCTTGGCAGAGGCCAAGAACAACACCAGGGTCTCCAGTAACAACAGAAGGGGGCTAAGGAACAAGCATTTGGAAGAGGTGCACAGGTCATACGATGAACGATTGTTAGTGGGATTTTTAAATGTTGCCATGACTCTCAGTCCTGGATGGAGAGAGGCACACAGGCATGATCGCACCATCATTTTCTCCATTGTATTTAGTTGCTTAGGTTTGGTGTTTCTTTCTCTACTTCGTCTTCTTTTTCTCTGTGCCTCATCATATTCTAGCCAGTGTTTCTCCATCCCTCCTGTCATATAAAGTTTATTTTGTTCCTTCTCATTTGGACAGAGTAGCTGCTGAACTGATCACTGTCTTAGGGGACTCAAGCTGAATTGCAGAAGGCATGTTAGGCATTACTCAAGGGTTTTACTTCCTTATGGGTAAAAAATGTTAATGCCTCTGACTTTCCATGCAACTTTGTTTAACGTGCTCTTGGTTTATAGTAAGTCGTTTAGAAAGCTTCCTCTTTACCATGTACCTCAACTACTTGGAATTATATTAGATTTTTCCAGGACTGCAGATGAGAAAGAAAGCTTGAGAAGATATTTTGCTAATTTAATCCATAACTTTGCTACCTGAGCAGGGGACCTTTCATGAAGTTATTATATCTATCTCTGTTTTATTCTTTTCTGATTGGGCTATTTCTGATATTTTGCTGTATCTGCTGATACCAGACAGCATGCCGTGTAAAGATACAATTTTAATCTTTTAGTAAAGAGACAATTATTTTGCTCTGTGACTAAGAAATAGTCTCTTCAACTTCAGAAAAGGTTAAGTGTCTCTTTTTTTTTCTGCATCTGGGCTTCTTTGTTCCAGACACATTTTCATTTTACCAATAAAATTACTAATTCACTGAGCAGTTATTTTGAGCTGGGCACCATGCTAATCATACTGCTTATATTATCTTCTTCAGGCTTCACCACAACCTTTTATAGTTGAGGAAACTGAAACTTAGAGGCATCAGGTAATTTTATGCAAGGTCATGGAGCTACTGCAAATATCCGAGTTGAGACCCACACCTAAGCTCCCTAATGCCAGAATCCACTGATGTGCTTCAACCGGATGCTGTGTTGGCTGCCTCCATTTATTGTCCTTGACCCTGAGCTAGGTCACCTGCCAGACCCTCAACATACCTCAGCTCATTAGATCTCCATATCAGTTTGGCTTGTTAGGCATCATCATACCCATCCACAATAAATAAAGTGGGGGGGGGAATAAATATCTTTCCCAAGGTACCTGATTCGCAGACTTCTAGCTTGCTCCATATGCCTCAGTCTTAATACTAAGTCAGTACGGCCGCCGGTCAGGAAACCTGTGAATG